CTGATTGCAGAAGGGTCCACACTGATGCAGCTCATACAAGCGCACACATAAGGTGGGAGAGGATGAGAGCTCTGGTCGCAAAGGGACAGAAGAGCCCTCTGTGTGGTGTAGCTTCTGTGATACACAGATACACACAGAAAGGGACAGAGTCTCTGGTCCACGTGAGATGGTAAAACATCCTTTGTCCCTCCTCGATGCTGCTGCCAGGACAGGCACTGCCCCATAGGTGCCACCTCCTCCTCCACAAGTACTCACCTCTCTCTGACCCCATCAGCAATGCACCACTGTCAATCTCTTCCCTGTGCCCATTCCCATTACTTTTAGGAGAGAAAAATGTGATACATGGTGTTGCCTCTACAGGAGACATTTCACAGCTTTCCTTTGTTCTAGCTCCATTATGCTGTGCTTTGGACAGATACCTGCACATCTGAGAGGCAACTGAGCAATCGAGATTTAAGGCAGCCATAGTAAGTGAAAAATAGCTACTGATCACAGAGGAGTTGACATAGACAACACCTGGGTCTGGTCTGTGTGTGTACCATTCTCATGCCCCTGTAAGCACATCTAGGTTGCCAGAAGATACGTAGAGTCCCTCTTGGAGGGACTGTTTTTCTTTAACATGTATGTCTTAGAGCTGCTGAATTATTAACTTACCTGCATTCTTCAGCATGGCCCTGACCCACTGAATCAATAAGAAAATTGCATCTTTATACAGAGTATTTTTAAAAATATAAGTAACAGAATTTTTGTGCAAAACTTTTAAAATTTTTATTCTCTGATTCCTCTTCAGTCCATTATGGTGTTATTAACTACTATTATCTCTAATAGCATAAAGATGTAAACACTTATTTGTTCACAGCTTTATATATAACATTTCAGAGAAGGCTGTTAGGTATGTGACATTAAAAATTGAAACCAGAAAAGAAAAAAAAGCAAAACCAGAAGAAAAGTATAGTGAATTACAGTATGAAATCTATTTACACACATTAATCTATACAACATCATAGTCTGTACATTTCGTAAAAAATAATCACATTCATTTACATAACCTTTACCATACTTGACAGATAAAAAGGTATCAACAAAGATGACAAAAGAGAATTCCAAAGTAATACTCATACTAATGTACCATGATAAAAAAACCTGCAGGTTATCATAAACTTATTACAGTGGTTTGGGAAATAGAGGGGGTTGGGACATTTCAGTCACTGTTCTAGCTGACAATGGAAATGCTACTGACTTCGATTTAACTACATAATGTTATCACTGGGCAGAACCAGATTCAACACAGAGTGCTTAAACCATACTACAGAATGCTCCTTTTAAATGTTATCCTGATGTACTCTTGTAACATACATGTTAGAACATCTTTTTTTTTTCATCAGTAGAATAGCACTGCATACTAACTTCGGGTATTTGGTCACGTCAGGGTAGCACTGACAGTCCATGGCTTATATAGGCACTCATGGCAACATGAAGGTACTTTTGTTAGTAAAAGTATTTCCTGTATGACTATGCATGGACAGTAACTGCTTGGACAATAACCCTTTTACACATAGCAGATTTTTCTGTGGGTTACTTGCTGGTTCTTCCTTTTTATCAGACATATTTAGTCCTTGCTTTTTCATTAGGGATGTCTGAAAAAAATCTGTGTATAGTGAATTTGGACTTTACGCCTGATTGCTTTGCTGAACTGGGTAAATTCATAGTCAACAGAAGATGTTTTTTGGAACATACAAAAATAGGAGGCAAATGATGCGGATGATTCATCTCAGTCATTACCCACAGAGTGTGTGACACGTGCACCTGCCAATGCCTTATTTCATAGATCTTTCCCAGACAGTCTCTGGTTTGCTGAGGGTCTGTGTCTGTTGTTTTCCCTTTCATCAGGTTAAAGGCAAAGGAAAGCTGTCTGGGCTGAATCAAGACATGAAGCAGATGCTTCTGAATGGGATAGGCTGCCTCCATAGAAAGCTTTTTGTAATGGTATTTGCCACCATTTAGCTATTGCTGCTACAATACAGTCCCAATACATGCTTAAAGTGGGTAGTTCTTCAGCTGGTTGCCCTCAGCACCCATCACCATGCCCTTCAGGGGCAGTCTGTTGGGCTCTCATGCACTCCAGCACAGAGCCTTCCTTAAATACATGTCAAATTCTTAAAATTTCATGAAAATCAGCACTGCTAGTGGGATCTTCCATTCCCTGAAATTTTGAATTAAACTGCACATTTCTCAGAGGATAACTTTGGCCAACCCAAGTCAATGGCTTAAAAAAGAGTATCTGGGCACTATTACCCAGATAACTGAATGATCTCTTCTGAAGAGATTAATCTTGCCTCATTTTAGTTGTAGAGTGATTAATTTAAGTACTAGCCAGATGCCCTGGGCTCATTTTATAGTGAATACAGAAAAAAAGGTGATCCAGCTTACCCACCTTAGATGCCCAGCTGAACATGGAATGAATAATCTTTAACTAGTGCCTATTTCCCTAAGATGACTATGGAAAGCACTTAAAAGGAATCTTTAACTCAGAGACAGATATCCAGCTTTCAGATACCAAAACCATGGCAGATGAATTTCCTCCGCATTTATGGAGCACCTGGCTGAAATAGACTCAGCAGAGGAAAATTTAACTCAATGTGTGCTATATATTTAGATTTTAATCATGGTTAGTAGCTAGAAAGCAAACTGTTGCTGTGCTCCTCAGGCACCAGCTGAGAGAAATCACTCATAATGAGTGGTGCCTCCAAGGAAGTTAAAGTACAACTAACCACAGTACCAGAGAGTGAACTGTGTTATCATTCTTGTTCAGTAACTACAAGGTGTGCTACTGGCTTTTCAGTGGGGACAAAAAAAACTAGGTTCCCTGCTCTGAAGACTTTACAACTCAGCTTGGACCCTGATGCAACCAAACGGAGAAAGGCAGTAATTAAAGAAAAGAAGGAAAACTATGTGACGAGGATGTGCAGAGAAAGGATATGCTTGTTTGCAGCCTCTACTTCCTCCCGTGATGCTGCTGGGAATGAGCAAGATCTAGACTTGGGGATGACAGAAGGCCAAATGATGTTTCCTTGCATTGTTCTTTTGACTTAAAAGTCACCATAGCACAGAGCAAGAATGTTTAATTCCATACTCCTGTGCAAAATGCAGTGAAAGACAAAGCTGTGAGAAGCTATCTTGTTCTGAGTGTTGTAAAGATGTAAAATACTGATTAAGTTCCAGATTTCTCAAACTATTCTGCACCTTTTACATACATTTCAATATGATGTGTATCTGTGTATGAAAAGGCAGCTGGAAGTCAAACAGGTGATGATAGGGTTGATGCTGTAACTTTGCATAAAATTGTTTGGAAATCAGAAATTTTTGGGGAGTAAAAACAAGTGAGCACAGTGCCCTCTGGGCCTTTACTGCCATGATAATGCTTCCACAAAGCACTATGAAGTTAAACTGTCTCTCAGAAAGCATCTTTTCTCTATTGAGATTATCGATAGAGGGATGAGGATTTACAAAGTTCTGTACTTTTCCCTTATGTGAAAGAAAAATGTATGCAGCATGTCTCTCCCCTGTGTGACATTCTTTGCACATCCACATAGTCCTTTACAAACCTAGTGATACCATCTATGTTCTCCCACTGGTGCAACTTTGTCTTATATGGCATTACACTCTACATGAAAAGTGGAATCATGTCCAAATGCATCTGCAACCTGTTAAAGGACACAATGCTGTTTTGTTGCAACTTAAAATGTGTTTTCTTATTAAGGCTCTTCTGTTTTATAATCCAGAAATAATTAAAATGCAGATTTTTTTTCCATGCTCATCTAATTAGAACGAAGATGGGTTTCTCTAGGATACGATGTATTATAAACATTATAATTGGTGATGCATCATGCAGAACAGACTGATGGAAATGATTACTCGAAACCCCTGTTTCTGCACCATCATTCTGTCTGTGTGTTAACTCACTAACATAACCTTATTTGAGCAAAAAGGTGAGCATGCTTTAATGCTTGTCACATGTGCCTTTCTACCCTTGCAATCTGGAGAAAAAAGAACATCCTGCACATCACACTTCAGAGAGCTGAGCAGTCACAATGCCACTTCAGACAAAGAAGCCTAAAGTGCACAGATATGTTTAATTTAGGTATGGAAGCAACTCCCAAAGCTCCAATGGTTCTTAATATATTTGCAAATAAGAGTTTGTCATAAGATTGTTCAGAGATCCAGGAAAATTACTAAATTTTAGCAATGGTTTCTGAATCTAAAGCCTTTGGGAATATATTTAGTTTATATGTATATGTAGGTGTGTACCTTTAGACCCCCATGGGACTGCCTTTGTGCAGCCCACTTCCGTCTAGAATCTCAGAGCTGCTTCACCAACTGACAGCAGAAAACACCCCGAATGACTGGAGGTGATGAATAGCTTCCTTAAAATCAAGTTTGGCAAAGTAGCGATTCATCAAGTGGTTCTTGTTTAACTCAAGTGATACCTACTGGGTAAAGGCTGGTGTCATGTAACATGTACCACATTACCTGTTCTTCAGAACTCGTGAGAACCATGAGGCCTTTTCTGTCTTTGGTCTGACAAAACTTTGTATCTCTCTGGGGTAATCCTGTGAAAATAAATTGTGTTTGACTGATAAATAGCTAGATTAAATCAGAGTTGTAGGGACACTTTGACAGCTGCTGACAATATTCCCAGTACTGGTAATATTTTCAAACATGTGCGTGTATGCCTGCCAAGACATGCCCTTGATGCTGTTCTTGCTTTTATCTGACAAGACCTTAAATTCTGCCAGCTCCATACAATCTGTTGTCTGAAATAAAAGGGCAATTGCCTTTATGGAGGCACTCATGCCAATATGTATTATTCCAACATGTTATGAATAGTGGACATGGTTAAAAGTAACATGGGAAGTGAACATAATTTGGATTATTTCTTTTAAAGAGTGCAAATATTCTGTGTATTTTTGTAAGACTCTCTGAGTTCTATCTTTTTTTAAAAAAAATGTGGTTGCATGAGAGGCTTGGCATTGTTAAGAATTCCTCCTTTATGCCTTTTATGGTAATTTTTAGGGATTCTGCCCAATTTTTTTTTTCTAGAATCACTGTCAGGACTAAATTTTAAATCATCTCAGATAGATACAGAATTAAATAAAACTAAAAGAATTTACTTTATTCCTTAAATGGGAGTTGTAATTTCATTGCAATATTCCTTGTTTTAGCTGCCAAGTATGTAGTTCTAGAGACATATTTTAATGAAAATACTACATAAAAATGGTATTTTCAATAGTTAATTGAAATGGTTAATTAATCCAAGGCTGTTATTCCTATGTGAGGCTGCTTGAGCAATAAAACACCTTTTTAGAAAATTGCTTAATGAAAGATCAACAGAAACCTCTGACTTTAAAAAGAAGAGAACAACTGGTGACTGGAACATCACTATTGGAAAATGCTGAAGTTTTGATCAAAACTTTTATAATAGTCTTTTCTGTTGGACTGTAAATGTAGCCCTACTTTCTGCACCTAAACTTAAAAAACTAGGCACTTTTGAAAGTAACAACAGGATTAGAATAAAATTCTGTAGAAAGTAATCTTTAAAATTTATACAATTAGCCAAGAAGTACTACCTTTTACTCTCTGCATAAATAATGTTCATGATTTCCTGGATTAGCACCCTGAACTCCCACTGTGGTTAATTATAGTCTTAGATTTCTTTATTTTTATTGTATTTTCCATACTTAGAAAAGAATTTCCTAATCCTTAAGGAAATAAATGTTTCCTTTAGTATAAACAAAGTATAAGAAATTTTCTTGCTTCCCATCTTAACCCTTACAACATGTGCCAAAGCAGTCTGCATTGAGCAGGATACCATGCATCACTCTTGGAGCCACATTGGAGGGTAAAGGGATCATTATGGAAAATGAGCTTCTGAATTCTTATGGCTAGCAAACTGCAAGAGAACACCAGAATTAATATGAACACCATTTAAACAAAACAGAAAGCATTCATGGGGCAGGTTTCTCTGTTATTAACAGGTTGGCGGCACAAACCAATTTCCCAAATACCAACATGTAGAAAAGCAAAGCACTAAACTGTACATTTTGTAAAATATCACATCAAGCTGCATAATGAATGATATATCCCACAGTTTTTCATGTTTTGAGGGACCTAGCTCATTTATATCATGGTGGTCTCTGTCTGCATAAACGAGTGAGCCCTTGAATTCCGGTGGAGCTGAGAAACACTTTCTGATCCATTTCGAGAAATCGAAGAGCTGTGGAGTCTGTAATCCCTTCCTGCTGTCTGCTTCCAACACAAACTGCGCCATTTTCTTTTCAGCTCCCCCTGCACCTGTGTTAAAAAGAAAATGCACAATATAAGCTGAAAATATTCTTTATGTGAGGAACCCATGTATTGGCGGTCAAATGGGGACCTCTAGGAGTAGAATCATTGAATGGTTTGGGTTGGAAGGGACCTTAAAGTTCATCTCGTTCCAAACCCCAGCCATAGGCAGAGAAACCTTTCACTAGACCATATTGCTCCAAGCCCCATCCAAACTGGCCTCAAACACTTCCAGTGATGGGTCATCCCTGTTCCAGTGCCTCCACCACCCTCAGGGAAAAGATTTCTTCCTTACACGCAATCTAAATCCACTACATTTCAGCTTAAAATTGTTACCCCTTGTCCTGTCATTACAGGCCCTGCTAAAAAGTCTTTCACCCTCTTCCTGTAGGTAGTGGAAGGCTCCTATAAAGTCTCTCCAGAGTCTTCTCTTCTCCAGGCTGAACAATCCCTGCTCCCTCAGCCTGCCTTCATAGAAGAGGTATTCCAGCCTACTGAGGATTTTTGTGGTCCTCCACTGGATTCACTCCAGCAGGTCCATGTCTTCTTTGTACTGATGAAAATTGCCTCTCCCAGCCTGCTGGCCATGCCTCTTTTGATGCAGAATATAACTGGGTTTCTGGGCTGCAAGTGCACATTGCCAGCTCATGTCCCAGTTTTCACCCCCTGGTATTCCCAAGTCCAGACTGCTCTCAATCCCTTCATCCCCCAGCCAGCACTGCACTGACCCAGGTGCAGGGCCTTGCACTTATCCCTGTGATGGATAAGATGGGAACTTCATGGGGTTCCCATGGGCCCATTCCACATGCCTGTCGTGGTCCCTCTGGATGGCATCCCTTCCCTCTGGAGTATAAAATCACTTTCTACAAAGATTACAGAACTGAAGCAAAGGCTGTGTCTACACTGAGGAGACGCCCCAAGGCCACTTTCAAAATCACTTTTTTGTATCACTTGTGCTGCAACATTAGCTTTTGGTATCTAGCTATTAATCACATGTACTTAAAGCATAGAATCAAATGATTAGCCCAAAAATCAGGCATCTCATTAATATGAAAGATTAGAATAGCACTCGGGAGAGCTGAATGACATCCCTGTGCAGGCAGGTGTCTTCTTCAGACAGATTCCTCCTGTCAGGTACTGCATGGTGGCTGACATCAAAAGGAAATCCTTTCATCTTTCTCAGTTGAGATTAGGAAAGCTGCCACATGCTTAGCACTTCTGAAAAATCTGCTGCTGTTTTGGGGGTTAGATACTGTCAGGAGATTAACCCTAAATACTTACTAAATGGTGTTTCAAGTCTTGGGTAAATTTCTACACTTGTTGCATCTCACTTGCACAGTCCACATTGCTTCTAACAGAGCTAGATTAGATCATGTTAAATAACAGACAACACCAAGACCTGAGTTTGCAAGAAATTAGATTTTAAATAGCTCTTAAAACTCTTCACCCAACTACACTTATTTCTCCTGTTGCATAGAAACTGTCACATATAGATTCCATAAATAGGAATGCAAACATTTAAAACAGCTCCATGTATCAGAGTGGAATTATAGGGCCATTTATACATTAACTAAAAACAATATTTAACATTCTTGGTAGGAAAGGTGAGACTTACTTCACTGTTCAAAAAGCAATACAGGACTGCAACAATCAACCCCTGGAAAGAGACAATATTTCTTAGTTAGTAGGCAGCACAAACCTAGGGAAATAAAACTTCTTTTGAATAAAAACTGTAAAATTTACCTGAAAAGATCCCAAACACAACTCAAAGATTATTTTGTAATTATTGGAACTGCGGTCAGGAAATAGAGCAAACACTGTGTAGTGAACTCCAAATAATGGAATAAGCAACAATGTGGATTTTGCAAGTCTCCTGGGCAAATAAAAGAGAAAAAGCTGAAATTTAATGGTAAGTTCTTGCTTTACTGGGATGAGAATATGATGCAATGCAGTTTACATACGTATCATAAGACTTCAGATTTATGAACAGGAAGAGTAATTTATTACAAATTGTTTTCCTTTCAGGCATGCTATGAGATTAGTCCCACAGTCACCCTCCCAAACTGACATGCCAAATTCCGTAATATACTTGATCTTGCTGACCTTGCACTCTTCCAAAAGCTGCTGATAGGCTGCAGGGCCTCTCTAAACCATAAGTCCCTTTTCCAAGTTCCCCCTGTGTAGCAGTGGGGTGTAGGATCCGTCCTCTGCTTTGGTTGTTTGACTAACAGCCACCTCCCAGCCTGGTTCCATGGCAGGGGGTTGGGGTGTGGGATTTACTGCATTATTCCACAGGACCAACAAAGTGTTATGAACTGACATCAAACCTCTTGAGATATTTTTTACTTGGCATGAAAAGTTCAGAGTTGAAAGGAATGATGCCTTCCTGCGAAGTCATACTGACAGATCCTCATGTATGGAAGGTAATATCTCTCTTTTGAAGTTAATTGCTGTTAATTTTTTTCAAATGTGCAGCTTCATGGTAAGTTTGTACATTGCACATACACAGCATGCAAATAATACCTAGGAGATGTAATCCAGAATAATCTCAGCTGTGAGATTTTCATGAGCAACTTCAGATATACTCCCAAGTACTAAAATTTCGTAGCTTTACTGGTGCTTTTCATCATATACCATTAACTAATTTTCAATATTGTCAATTACATAATACATTTTAGCAGAAGACACAATTGAAGTTAAGGAAGGAGAACTTTAAATTACTAAGCAGAGCAGCTCTGACAAACTACTGAAATGATGAATTGCTAATTATATCTTGTCTGTCACTTACTTCACTCTAATAACGTCAGTTTTATATATTATACAGGGCCAGTCATGCACGATTATGGATGTCTGGTATCAGATAAAATTCAAGAAGTTACGATGTTGAGTTCTATAATTCATCACTGTCTTGATTAATATAACTTGATTCAACATCGAAAGGCTGCTGTTGTGAATTCACGTATTTTAACAGAAAATTCAAGGTATTTCAAGCAGTTTTATTTTTTCTGTGTCAGTCTTCATGGCCTTCCTCTGTTCATAGTGTCCCAGAGGCTGCATCTGTTTATGTGGAAATAATCAGTTCTGACAGCAAAGTTTCTCAAGAATAGTAAAACCCTCACATCTAAAGATGCTACCAGTAAGTGGGACAAATAGGATTTCCTCAGCAGAAGAAATTAATTTACAGCTGGAGGAAATGACACTGGCAGCAAATTTCCTGGTTTCCCAAGTCAAATGGAAACCCGATTTTATTTGAACTTAACCTTATCCACTGCAAAAGTAAAGTGAGTAACAAAAAGGATGGAACCATGTACAAGCAGGTTCAGAAGAAGGGAAGAAAAATGGTGACTTGAATGAGTGGTATACCTTTTAGATTCATATTTCACTCTGTTGTTGTTGTAATGATTTTTGTCTAACTGATGTTACTTTCTCTATACTGCACTTACATTTTAGTGAAAGAAAGGGACAGAAAAAATAGCCTTATTCTTCTCTGCATTTTAGAAAAAGGCAATCAAATGCTAACAGCAAAGAATTCACAGGAGTGAATAATAAAGGACAAGGTTGTTATTAGTGAGAACATTTCATATTATGAAGTGCTATAGAAAACTGTGGAAAATTATGGAACTGAAAGTCAGTCTAGTCATGTTGATTTTTCTGTGGACCATCAGATATTCATTTCTTGCATAATATGTGCCACATTCTTCACAAAAGACATAAGGTTCTATTTCTCTTGGCTTTAAAGTTATTCTTTACTTCAGCACACTATGTTTTATCAGCTTTTAGGACAGGAATTCTGTATTTTTTAAGTAAAGAAAAGGTGTCATCCAGGAACACATTTTCAAAGGCTACTTTCATGGGTTTGGATTTTCAGTGTTCATGTTAGGTTTTGTCACTGAAGTATCATATTGACACCCTGAAGTCTCAAACTCAATGTCTATATCTGGGCTTTAAAATAAGACCTACTACCACAGACCCTTGATTGTGGATTACAGTATCCAGCAGATATTATAATAAACAACAATAACTGATACAGTAATATAATAAAAACCAAAATCAATTTTAGCAACATATTTGAATTGCTGCCAACATTCCCTGATTTTAAAGCTGTGGAAAGAAAAGACATTAGCATTTGATGTTCAAACCAAAACACAAAAGAAGAAAGTCTAAACACAAAGGAAGTTGGTCTAATCAGACACAACTGTTTCCCTATAGAAAATAAAGCTGGTATTTTAAATCAAACCTTATACTTAACTTCTAACTTTCTGGGAACAATGTAACTTCTTTTCAGCTCTTAAAATATATGTAAATATTACAAAAAAGTATTTTAGAAATGAAAAATGAAAAAAAAAAATTTAGGGAGGTTGACGCAAAATGTCTCAACCTTGAAACTTTTGTTATGTCAAAATGAAATATTTATACATCAAAAGAAAGATAATACTCTCCATATATTTTATATCAGCCTATTCATTCATGGATTAAACTCAAAATCAAGCTTGTTAGTCTTTATGAAAGTGAATATTTTTTATTCAATTTATTGTTTGACAAATATTCTATATTTCAACATAGTGATAACCTTTCTTAAACCATATCTAAAAGTAGTTCTGAATTAAATGTAATTACAGTATCATTTCAGCAGATGAAACCTTATAGAGATCATTTGTGTTCTGTTTATAATATCTAAAAATATGACTCACTTGTACTGTGATTGGTCATTTCCTCCAACATCTGGAGATCTTAACTTCTGCAGTAAGATTCTTATAATACTAATGAAAAGTATAAAATTCACCTGCAAAGAAAACAAATATAATGGCTATTTCTGAGTTCTCCACTCAATATGCAGCACAAAAAAATGTTTATCAAGTCAGACAAGTCAACTCAGCAGTAAGTTGTGGAACTCCTACCAGAACACATCAAGCTCTGCATCGTCAAACCTATTGTCTGTTTTTGGCCACACTAGGTTTGTCATGTCAGAGCACCTCTGCATCCCCACCAGTTCTGGTCTGGCTGGCAAAAGTCTCTGAAAGCCCCAGTTGTCAGAAATACCCTCCTTCCAAAAGTGTAGATGAAGACAAGTTTCCTAGCAGGATGGGACACTGAATGTGATTTGCTGCAGTCAAGCACTGTCCTGAATTGTCACATGGATTCACAACCAGAACCTCAGAGAGAGTTTGGAACCTCTCTTGCTCCTCACCTTGACTTTCAGCATTTTCTGCCTGAATGAGGGGAAGAGAAGATTGTTACACAGCTGATCTATCTACTCTAATCAAGCAAAAAAAGGGCCTCTCACAAGTATCTATTTGTCTTGGATATTAATGCAGACATTATGACTGAAGGAATGACAGAATAGGCAGGGTTGGAAGGGAACTCTGGAGATCATGTAGTCCAACCCTCAACCGAATCCCTGTAGTTCAATTCTCATGATAACCCTCTAAGGCAGAACAGTAAAATTATTTTATTTCATATTTTGTTGAATATTTTATTTCAAAAAACCCCAAAACATTATGACCAGATAATGATCAGTCTAGAAAATCGAAGTGTAACACACAGTAGATCCTAAGTGTCATTGCCAGTATTTCTTCACCCTGGGCTTTTGGTATGTTGTGATCACCAGCCCTTCTGGTGCTGGGTTGTTTGGTGCAGTCAAGAAAACCTCACTCTAATATAGCATGTCCATACTAAAGTAAGGGAACACTTGGATTCACACCTTCACAGCTACAAAGTGCACCGAAAACTACAGGTACAGCTATGTAAACAGCTGCATCAAATGCACACATCATAGAATAAATTAATCTAGAGAAAAATTTCTATCACTGTGAAAATGAGAATTTTGTTATTTTAAACTAAATCCATCCCAAAGCCCAAAATCTAGAGGTGGGGTACCCAAGCAGACAGTGCCTGTCTCACCGCTATAAATGTCTATCTTGATGTATCAGTGAAACTCTTCTTTTTCCAGTCCTAACAATTTGGCTGTAAGCTTTTCAAGTTCAATGAATGTCTGTGTCTTCTCTGGCACAACCTGTACAATTTAGGATATTAATAAATAAACCATAATCAAAGCAATATATGTCCCTCTGTACTTAACGTTTTGTTTGAAATGACAGGTGAAGGGAAGTGGCAGGAACTGACAGGGATGAAATAAAAACTTAGGAAAATTATATCTGGGTTTTTTTTAAGAAGAATAAGAAACAAATATTAGAAAATACAGAATTTTGCTGAACTTTACATATGTTTTTCAGGCACATGATTACTTAGAAAGTTTCTTTGATGCAAGACTCCTACAAAGGTAACAGGCAGAAGCCTATTATTGCAGATTGTATCTACAGACAATGCATCAGAGTGTACACACCAAGGGATATATACTTTTTCATATGCACAGGAGTCAATATAAGTGGACAAGGAGAGAGCTTTCATTTTATTGTATATTCGTTAGTCATAAAAAAAAGAGAAGAAAAAAAAATCTTTATTCTGTATTTACAAAGGGAATGACAGAATAATTTCTTGTTCTTCACAGGCATCCCTAGTGTCTAGTGTAACAGAATAAACTGTCGTCCCCTTGGTTTCTGAGGCATCACATCAGCTGCAGAACTACACTCAGGTGACTCACATTCTTGATTGACATTTATGTATTACGTTCAAGTCTTTTTTCAAACACATACTTTGCTATCTGTAAGCACAATTTTGTATTAAAGGAAAACTTACATTCTTCTTTGGAGACTGTAACAGTCCTTGGCACTACTGAGCTTGCAAATCCAGCTAACTGAAACTGGATATCAAGATCTAAAGGGGGCAACTTCCACTGCCTTAGTCCAGTGGACCAAATTAATTTCTCTAGGATTTCATTCAATTCATTATTTTTTAAAATCCTTTGAAGTATGTGTATGATTTAGAATAGTATTTTTCAACAAAATATGAAACAAGTAATGTCCAGGAATTTTACTTTCAGTGCTGTAACTTTTTAGTCCCATAAAATCATTTGAGCATAATGCCTTTAAATAACATAGAATATGGATACTGTTCAATGAAGATCTAAGAACATGAACATGAGAAAATAATGTGAATGTAGAAAAACTACAAGACAGACAAATGACGACTCTTTAGTGGAGTAACAGCAAGATGATGCTCATACCCTGTTCTACTTCTGACAATAAGATTTTGAGTCTAAACAAATTGTCTGAGCATGTATCATTTAAACTGGCTCCTTATTGCTTCTTTCTTTATATTTAGTCCCTTACACTACCTGTAATGTGAGATAATAAGAAAAACATTTCTCAGTTACTTTGGTGGGACAGAAGTACTGTTTCCACATGAACATCACTCCTTCCCAAATGAGAGCAGTTTATGGAAATAGAACTATGGAGAAGGAAGCTGTGGCAGCATTGTCATGAGGAGATGTCGGGAAGGTTTCTGACACACTGAATTAACTGAAGCCATTGCCACTTTGCAAAATGGTACCAGAACTTGCTCTCACAATATTGTTGGATAGATCAGACTTTATCTGACTGACCAGTACTCCATTCTCTTAATTCCCAACTCATTCCCCAGTCTTTGCTAATTCCATCTTCAATTCAGGTCTGCCAACGTGCCCCGGCGTAACTTCCCTTTCCAGGTCTAGGACTCCTTTGGTACAGCACTGCTTTCAGGCACATGAAATCTCAGCTCTTTACCAGATAGCTCTTTAAACTGAGCATCCAGAGAATAGGCTTTCATCTTTCTGTAAATACTGGATGGTTTGTTTTGCTTTTATCTTTCAGCATATTTTCTTCACTCTGGATCATTCCCCATTCTCCAGCTCCTTTGTGGTACAGGTATTCTCTTCATGCTGTAGAATGTGCATTTCTTCATAACATAAAATACCTCTTCTGTGAATCCTTACCTTATATTATTTTACACATATGCCTACTGTGCTTTCTCTTTAAACTGCAGAATCCACTCTGATGAAGATGATAGGAAGTTCTCTCAAAAGGATTTTTAGCAGGCACAGGTTAAAAGATAAGCCCAAGAGCAATGGGAACTTTTGAAATCTTGTGTAATCTAATAAAGCCCCGGTTTTACTGCCTACAATGTTAAAAAATGAGGCAAGCGTACCTAAAAATGTATCAGTTTGCATTCTGACTGTTTTCAGACCTGGACATGTATTCATAGTATATTATGCCCAAAGTTAATTACACAATCATTAAACTGAATAGGAATATTATTATACTACCCCAGTAATTCTAATGAGCTCCACACAGGAAAAGTCCTGTGAAACATGCTCAAATGGTATTATTTTGCAAATACTTCATGTTCAATATATATATATCAGTAGGCTACCAATTAAAGAAAGATATACACAGCCATAGTTTTTTATGACTGCAATAATATCAGATTCTCAATTGCAGGTCTATCTATTTACACACAAAATCAAATCTGCAATTCATTGAAAAGTATAATTAGATTTTTGCTTCCTCCAGGCTCATAAACAGGAGAAATGTTAAAGAAAGAACAACATACAAATAAAAGCAACTGCTCATTTAATAGAAGGCAGATAGATTTTAAAGGCAACAAATTTTAATGGCCTTGGCATCTGTTTAACATTTCTCCTACAGCACAATTTCTTTTCATTAAAACAGAATTCTTGCCTATCTGTAACTAGCAGTAAAGAATAATGGCTATATGCATTGCAGAATGCTGAACAGATCTATAATTCATGCTTCAAAGTTTACTTACTATAATAGAAATTAAAATTGGTATTCGTATAACCCACCAGGGACCACCATGCTCATTTGTATCCCAGCAACTACAAAAAAAAAAAGAGTGAAAAAGATGTTGACATTAATATCATCTGGCAAGCAAGACCTATGAGGAAAATTATTTTTTATATGCAAGTCAAAGCACACTAAAATAATGCCTGTTCTAGCCTAGAATTTGGCATTCAATAATTTCCTACTTTTAAGTTTGTTTCTTTTTTTATTATGAATACTCCATTTCTCCGCTTGAAACACTGCAACCAAGTGTGGAGTCCTCAGCCTAACAAAGATGTGGACCTGTTAGAAGTGTCCAGGTGAGGCCATGAAGGTGTTCAGAGGGCTGAAGTACCTCTCCTACAAAGCTAGGCTGAGACAGCCGGGGACTGTTCAGCCTGGAGAAGAAAAGGCTCCAGAGAGATCTCATTGTGAGTTTTCAGAACTTAAAGGGGGCCTATAAAAGACAGGGAGACGGACCAGGGGGAGTGACTTTTTATCAGAGCATGTAGTGATAGGATAAGGAGGAATGGTTTTAAACTAAAAGAGGAGAGATTAAGATGTTAGGAAGAAATCCTTTACTCACAGAATTGCAGTCGTTTAGGCTGGAAAAGACCTCCAAGATCATCAAGTCCAACCTTTGACGGATCATCACATTGTCAACTAGACCATGGCACTAAGTGCCACATCCAGTCATTTCTTGAACACCTCCTGGGATGGTGACTCTACCACCTCCCTGGGCAGCCCATTCCAATGCTTGACAACCCTTTCCATGACGAAATTCTTCCTTGTGTCTAATCTGAACCTCCCCTGCTGCAGCTTGAGACTATGTCCTCTTGTCCTGGTGCTTGTTACCTCAGAGGAGAGACTGACCCCCACCTGGCCACAAACTCCTTTCAGGGAGTTGTAGAGAGTGATAAGGTCTCTCCTGAGCCTCCTTTCCTCCAGACTAAACACCCCCAGCTCCCTCAAACACTCCTCATAGGACTTACTCTCCAGAACCTTCACCAGCTTCATTACCCTGCTCTGGACACACTCTGTCACCTCAATGTCTTTCTTGAAGTGATGGGCCCAGAACTGGACAAAATACACAAGGTGCATTACTCTGAGGTATCAAGGCACTGGAACAGGTTGCTCAGAGAAATTATGGATGCCCCATCCCTGGAAGTGTTAAGGCCAGACTGGATGTAACCTGGTCTTGTGGGCCCATGGCAGGGGGAGTTGAAACTAGAGGATCTTGAAGGTCCCTTCCAACCCAAACCATTCTATTGTTCTATGAAATCAGTTAAATCACTAAGCTGTACCATTAGACATTGTGAGGGACATTGGCCTTTGAGGACACCAAGCTCAGTTTCACTTTGTGTAAGGACACCTTCCCAATATGCACTTAACATTGCCTTCTGGGTAGCAGGAAGATCTAAAGCAACTGACAGATACAACTGAAATGACATAATTTCTTGTAGGATATTTAGGTTACAGACGGCTAGAACTGCTTTAGGAAAATGTGAGACTGAACTTGAAGCTTCATCTGAAAAACTGTATATTTAATTTTCACTGTGGGCTCAGCACTTTTGATCCAAATGGTCACAGTGCTCTGAAAGGTTAGTCATATTAAAGATTTATTACCCTTCAGAGTTCGTCTGTAATCACAACGACAAAGGAAAAAGAAGTTTGCCTCTGGTTTACATGTTAGAGGTCTTGCAAAGAGAGGCTTGAAATTATGTAGGACATGATTTTTCAGTTTAATTAGAGAATCAATTGCAAAATATTAGTTAGTCTGGCAAAACATGACTTTGAAAACTGTTTGTCTCATCAGCTAGGACTGCTCTCCTATTCCCTGGAGCCAGCCCAAGCATCCAGTCTGATCTTCCTACAAAATTCTTACCTCAGTTCCCCTTTCCATGCCAGGAGCCAGGCCTAGCTCTAATCAGCTATAGTTTTACCTGATTGTGTGCATCTTACATAAGTTTACATCACATCGCTTCACTTCCCACGTCCCCTCTGCCATTTTAAATATTATTGCTTTGATTTCCTAAGCATATAGCTTTAAATGTGGGTGTCAAGGGGTAACATTAGTCATAACCTATCTCTGACCTCTCTGCCCTTTGAGTTTTTCAAATAAACAGCAAACATAAACCCACGCTGAAGAGCTCCAAACACCTGTCCCTTTATTCCCATCTGAAATATCAGTTCTGTGCTCGTCCCCTTCAGAACAGCAAACCACCTTTGTGTGAACACCACTGTATCCAAGGCAAGGATTGTACTGGCACAGATGGAGGCTTTAAGCTTTTTCTCCCACACACACTCACCCAGTGTCCTCTAAAATGATCCGTGTCACTGTCCACGTAATAATGAATATGGTAGGAATTCCTGAAAAATGCCAAAGAGCATGATCACAAAAATATAAGTTCACAAAAAAAAAAGTTCAGCCTGCTAGTAATCAATTATTCCCCAGATGCACAGCATATATAAACAGTTCATTGAATGGAGGGAGAGGCACATCTGACGAGCTACATGATGTCAGCAACATATTACAAACAAAGGCTGCAGGGAAGTGGATTTATTTCTTACAAAAATGCAGCCATAATGACTAATACACAAAACCCATGCTTTTCTTAGGTTTCTTGCAAGCTTTCAGAGTGACTTACAGGCTGACAGATACAAGTCATGCATTACCAATGCACTTCCAAGGACTGCAATATAAAATTGAAGTATAAATCATTTTGTAAGGAACCTTGTCCACACACTGGTTTATTCCCATTTCCCAGCAACACCTAAATGTTTTATGACCACCTATTACTGGAAGCTTTAAAGTGCTCCATATAAATATCATTGCACTTTCTTTTAGGGAAAGGAATACATGTATTTAAAACCAGATGAACAATATTTTTGAGCTTTTCAAAAAGGCAAATAGTGCAGCATAGCTCATGGCTTTGCAGCTAAATTTTATTTTTTGTCCTAAACGAGGATAGTCGAACCATGTGTTTTCTGGTGGCACTCCTTGCACCATCCTATATCCTGAACAACCTCTGGGCATGGTGCAGATTGGCACAGGTCAGAGCTGTGCCAGGGAGAAAGACAGCAGTTATGCTCCAGCTGTAACCTGTGCTGGAGCTGAACTGAGGAACTTGGGAGTCTGAGGAGTCACCCAGGAGAAACAGCAGGACTACCTTGGTATGAAATATTGACCCTGACTAATACAAACAGCAAAAAAAACATACAGCAAAAAAAAACATTATTGGATGATATTTAAGTTCTTACCCCATCCTATCAGCAAGTAGATTGTGAAGTGTCTGTTGGGGGAGAATATTAGCACAAGGAGGATGTGGAGGTAAAGTCCTTCAACTAAGAGCCAGTAAAAGTTTGCCATAACACCATACTGAAAAAATACCAAAATTGCCTTGCAGCCCACCTGAAATATGAGAATAGGGATCAAATTTGTTGCAGGAAATATGCTGTATTATTCTGTTATTAATATAGCCTATACATCTTAGCTCTTTGTGCAATATTTGTAAACCAGGTCCAGTAGAAATTTTTTTCTTTAGTTAATCAATTGGGACATAGTAAATGTTACTATATATAGAGAAAGAAAATTAATTACTAAATAAATATTTAGAAGACTCTCATTGCAAATTTGCTCAGAAATGTTGAAAACTTCATAGCATAAATATTGAAAAATATGTTGGTTATAAATAAATGCATATATTTGCAACAGTTTGGAAATGAATGGCTATTAGATTACATGGTCATCTATTTGGAGGCTAATAAATATTTTCTAATCCCAACTGGCTTCTCAACACAGTAAAAATTAACAAAGAAACTGCTTTATGAATTTTTCAAGGCTAAATGGGAAATTGAGTCAAAAATATAACTTTACATGATGAATACTCTAAATAGACTTAGAAGAAAAAGTTGACTGGACTTTTAAAAATTATGTTTTCCCTTTAGAAAATGCTTTAGTGTTTCTTAATTAACAAAACATGTAGGCTTGTATCATAAAATGATACTTATAATGTGTGTTGCTTTTCAGAATTAATTTTCTGATGTCTGTGCTGCTGATGTTCCCTGGTGCTGGCTGCTGCTACTTTGGCACTTCCCAGCAGGAACCTGGGATGTGAGAATTGAATATGAAAATATTTCTGCTGAGAATGTGCTGAGAAATGTGATGATATGGTAAAAGTAGCAGACTAAACAAACCGGAACAAATAAAATCTCTCGTTTCTCCCAGCTTTTCTCACTTCTCCCTTTTAAATACCCTACACACCTCCATTTTTTCTGTTAAAATTCCACGTACACCTGATACCTAAGCAGGTAAACTTATTTAGTGACTGATTCCCCTCTCTAAATATTGATATCTATTAAGACGTGAGATGCAGTCCCCAGCTCCTAAGTCAGAAGGGCATAGACCTCATTAGAGATATTTCTTCATATCCAGCAGCCCCCTGTGGTGTTTCAGATATCTCAGTGCATCCCAAGTAACATACATGTCTATATTTATGCCCGTGAACATGCCTATACAAACAACTAAGTAGCAGCCCAAAGACTTGAATTTATCTCACCTATAATCTTTCAAGGACCTAAGAACTTCTGATTACCCCTGGCAGTCTGTCTAAGAGCAACTGTGCCTACTGGAGGTCTACTAACTCAGTTCCTATTTTTTTCCATTAGAAATATCCCAGATTATGAATTTCTACATACAGCTTAGTATGCTGTATGTATGTCTTGTTAAGCACTTCACATTTTGGGACACAATGGCTTCATCAAGACAAAAATATCTTTTTACATTTTTTTTTTCACAACCTTAAATTGTAATATATTAAAATCAGAAGGTATTCTTGACTGAAACAACAGGGACAGAGAACAGAGAATATCATATAGTGGTCAGTTTTTTAAGAGCAAGACTTGAGATTTTTTTAATCCCTGTGCTTGAAAATGCAGTACACATATCAGCTTGCTAAGAATGCAGATGACAACACTTCTGTCATAGCCTGAAAGTACAGAAGAGTTAATGAAGACACCTCCTGCAAATATTTAATTTCCTGAGTTATTTCTCTCCCTCCATTGACACCTGTCCAATTCCTGCACCCTTGATAAAGCTGCTGGAACACTTCCAGACCAGCTGCCTTTAATCACTCCCAGCTGATGGTACTCCTGTTTGTCTTCAACTCTCCCAGCCGTTTAATGCAGTGACCATATTTATTCTGCACTATAGATGGTTATGATTTGTCTTGGCAGATGACATGGACATGCAAACAACATTAACGTCTCCTACTTGTGCTGCAACCTTCTTTCTCTGTCTGCTTCTAACAGAATTGTCTACACTGACAGCTTGGTATTCCTAAATATTGAAAAGGATCAGGGAGGAAAATTTAGTGACAATCCAATATTACACCAGGTAGCAAATGAGGTTTCTTACCCATGAGGTTTGATCCTCTGGACAGTGAGCTGTGTTGGAGCTGGAATACAGAATATCATCCTTGACTAAAACAGAGATTGCTCTTAGAATGAAAGAGAGGAACAGGTTCAGATGGATGTAGTTCCGAGTACAATGAAGTTTTCTAAGAAGAGATTTAAAAACAGGCATTTTAGATTATAATGCAGAAACTGTTGAACAGACTTCTATTACTCTGAAAACGTTTCTTAGTACTATGAACCCTGAGTAAGAGCCTACCCTTTTCTTCTCTGTCATTTTACCAGTGCTGCCTTGCTGGTTTTTTTGTCTCTCACTCCTTCTGTCTGGTTGTAGTGGTTTGAACCAGGTTTTCCCCCTGAAACTAAGAAAGTGGTAACCCCCAGGGGGTGGTGACCCTTGGGGCTTGACCAATCAGTGCTCCTGCAAAATATAAACATATCTCTGGAGACCGAAAAGGAAGCAGTAGTACGTTGTAAGAAGAAGAGGTGGCCATGTTGTAGAGGCCACGAGGAGAAGGGGCTCTGGCCCCTTGGGGGCCTCTGCCCCCCCCAGCCCCCGGTTGGGGGGCTGCAGGGACTCAGAACTGGGCTGAGTGCCTGTGGCTAAGAGCTGGGAGAATTTCTCCCGGTAGGCAGCCTTGGGAGACGCTGGGAGCAGACGGAGCAGCAGTAGACACAGCAGCGTCCGAAGAGCAGTGGCAAAGAGCCAACTGATAAGGACCAAAAGGAGCAACACAAGCCGGTATGCAGCTAAGGCAGACACAGAGGTGTCTGAGGAGAAGGAAAAGCAGCAACAGGACAAGAGAACCGAGCCAGCAGCAGGAACAGAGTTTTGGAGGGTAAGAACTGGACAAACCAAAACCCCCAAACTCGCTAGAGACCCCTCTGAGAAAGAGGAGGGGGTGGTGGACTGAGAGGAGTCCTAAAGTGCAATATGCACTGCTGAGAGGAGCTAGGAAGCTCATGGCCTCCTGAGAGATAAGTCAGGACGGCCGAAGGAATGTGTGTGTGTGGGGGGTGACCTTGGCCCCCCCTGCTCCAGCTTCAGAGAAGCTGGCAGCCATCTTTGAGGCAGAGCATGGGAGCTCTGCACAGGGGCTTGATTTCCCCTGAGGATACCAGACCGTCACGGAGACCCCGGTGCTTCGTGATATGACCATGGTGTAGCGGCCGTGTCTGGGGTTACGCAGCCCATGGAAAGACCCCTTGTTTGGAGACGGGGGCCGAGAGAGACTTGGAAACCTCCCTCGTGTGTGCTGGCAGAGAGCCAGCAACTGTTTCTGGTGGAAGAGAAGAAGAGAGCCTGCTGCCTAGAGAGGAAGACCTGCTGCTCACAGACTGGAAGGGGTCTTTTCTTCTTCTTCTCTCCTGGACTTTTATTTGGAGGGAGAAGAGATTTGGCCCATTGTAAATATTATTGTCATGGTAGAGATAGATATAGAGTTAAGATTGTTTGTAATGTATTATAGTATTTATTCACGTGTATAGTCTTTGTAATATATTCCTTCCCCCCATATTGAGTCTCGTGTTTTTGTCTGGAAAACCCATCTCACATGGGGTTGAGATGTGGGTGGGGGGCTAGGAATCAGAATTGGATTTTGGGCCTGCTGAAACCATGACACTGTAGTATCACAGACTACAAGATCCAGTGGTATTTCTCCTGCATTTAACATAAGCTGACAATAAACATAGATTATTTTACCCTTCTGTGTGTGCACTCATTCCAATATTTTTCTTGAAAATAAAAGTTTTATTATCTTGGATATATTTCATACATGCTCTCACCTACTGTTTTCTGGGTTTGTTCTTTTATTTAACTCCTGCATTTTGCTATGTAATGGTTTTTCATCCTAGGATGGGAGTGTATGCAGGAACAATTAAAAACATATTCAAAATATTTGATCTCCTGTCCTTTCTATCCAATGAGATTTAAAGCTTCTCTTCTTTAGTCCATCAGCCATGTGAAAGCCTGACAAACAAATAGAAGATTAAATATTCCAAGTAAGTGAATGAGTGCTCAGGGGAAGCAAGCTATAAGTTGAGGGCTTTTCACCTAAAATACATTCCCTTCAAGACCTTTCAATTTAAAAGATCCTTTTTATAGCAAATCCCCAGAAAGCAAACCACTAAGAGGTTTTCATGGTCAAAACCAGCACCTTGATCTGCACCTGGAAACAGGCCAGAAGCCAAGGCATTTTAGCAAGTAGTGAATGAATGAAGATGCAGCAGGATGTTCTGGCAGTGTGCACTGGCAACTTCCAAGTAGTCTCCCAGTTTTGATTTTTACCAGACACTATATAATCTATTCTGAAACTACTAAAGCAAGGATAGTTACAGTGAGTGTAGGGAAATAAAAAACAGATCCACCTTTCTAGTCCCCACTTTGGCAAAAGACAACCAGGCTGAATAATACCAGACTGAACTTGAAGCAGTTGTCAAAAAGTGGTAGAAAGTTATCAATTAGCTTTAAGTACAATAAGTACGTAGAGTATTATGTGGGGAGTGGCACCATACTAACTTAGTTTGTTAGCTTAGTTTGTTAAGGTATTTATAGATATTCACATTTTATGTCTTTGTTTTGAGATTAAAAGATTAGCCAGATATAAAATCCTTTCCTTTTAAAAAGCTTGTAGGTGTGTAATTTACAGATATTAATAGTGTGAACCCATAAATATATCTCTAAAGGTTAAAATCAAGCCCAGTTCTTTGTAAAAATTGCAAAACAAAATATTGCAAATGCATGGAAACTTCCAGAAACAACTCTTCTTTCCTGACACACCTTTTCGCCTTTCATGTGCTTTTAGCTGATATTGTGAATACCTGCAAAGCCCTGAGACTGTGTCTTCTACCAGGCAGTCCATAACAACATACGATGGACTGCAGAAGTCAATTCCTAAAAATGAATTTCCACTTCCTTGCCATGAACACACTATCTACAACTAAATTAAACTCACCATTATTCCATGTTTTCTGGCATTAAAAATACTGTAGGTATTCAGGATTAAATTTAGTATAACATAAAGCATTCACATACAAATCCAGCAATGTAAAATTTTGATAGCCTCTTGTGTTACTAATATCCAGAGTTCAAATCCTAATTCTGCTGGATGAAGTCAGAATTTTGACTACTCTAATGCATTAGTAACTTCTGAGTTTTAACTCACTTCTTACCTTCCAAATCTCGTTTAGATAGTTTCACTTAGAGGAGAACATTTCTCTGCGTTTAATGACAGCAAGGTGAAAGTTTGCTAGTTAAATTCAAAAGGGAATGTGTCTCAAGGGTGAGAGACTGATTTTTATAAACAGTATATTGACATTATTTATATGTAATCCCAGAACATTTCATGGCAAATTATGTTTTTTGGATAGGAGGTGTTACCAGTTGAGTAGAGAAAAGTTAAAACTTAGAGAAACATTCTTATTTTCCAAATTTGTCCTTAAATATTACCATATTACCGTGTCCCCCAGGGATCAGTGTTGGGCCCAGTTCTGTTTAATATCTTTATTGATCATCCAGATGAGGGGATTGAGTCCATCATCAGCAAATTTGCAGATGACACTAAGTTGGGGGGGAGTGTCGATCAGCTGGAAGGCAGGAGGGCTCTGCAGAGGGACCTGGATAGGTTGGAGAGTTGGGCTGATTCCAACGGGATGAGGTTCAACAAGGCCGAGTGCCAGGTCCTGTACTTTGGCCACAACAACCCCCTGCAGCGCTACAGGCTGGGCACAGAGTGGCTGGAGAGCAGCCAGGCAGAAAGGGACCTGGGAGTTTGGATTGACAGGAAGCTGAACATGAGCCAGCAGTGTGCCCAGGTGGCCAAGAAGGCCAATGGCATCCTGGCCTGGATCAGGAACAGTGTGGCCAGCAGGTCCAAGGAAGTGATTCTTCCCCTGTACTTAGCACTGGTGAGGCCACACCTGGAGTACTGTGTCCAGTTCTGGGCCCCTCAGTTCAGGAAGGATATTGAGGTGCTGGAGCAGGTCCAGGGAAGAGCAACAAGGCTGGTGAAGGGACTCAAGCACAAGTCCTGTGAGGAGAGGCTGAGGGAGCTGGGGCTGTTCAGTCTGGAGAAGAGGAGGCTCAGGGGAGACCTCATCACTCTCTATGAAACTACCTGAAAGGAGGTTGTAGCCAGGTGGGGGTTGGTCTCTTTTCCCAGGCAACTATCAGCAAGACAAGAGGGCATGGCCTCAAGTTGTCCCAGGAGAGGTTTAGGTTAGATATTAGAAAGAATTTCTTTACAGAGAGGGTGATCAGACATTGGAATGGGTTGCCCAGGAAAGTAGTGTATTCCCCGTCCCTGGAGAATTTTAAAAACAGACTGGATGTGGCACTCAGTGCCATGGTCTAGTAACTGCAGCAGTAGTGGATCAAAGGTTGGACTTGATGATCTCGGAGGTCCCTTCCAACCCAGCTGATTCTATGATTCTGTTCTATGATAATGTAATGGTACAACATGTCTGAGAGGCAGACAGACATATGCACACAACCATCTGCATTCACTTCTATTATTTAATTTACAACTGCCTCAGCTTCAGCCTTTCACAATTGGCTGCTTGCTATGTACTTGGGAGACTTAACAGGATATTTTTACAACTTATTTGGGTTCCTAAGTCAACTCACTATATTAGGAGACCCCTACATTCCCTGCAGATAACAGAGAAACAGGTTTCTTGGAGGCTTCTTCCCTGAAAAAAAGCCTCTGTCTTTTCACTGACTCAGCAGGGAGACTGGGGAGTTCTCAAGTTGGATATTTAAACTGAAGTTGAAGGTTTTGAGTACATCTCTTAAATTCTTGATCTGTGTGTCACAACTGACTTCTGGTGAAGGGCAACGTTCAGATGTCTATAATTCTCTGTATTAAATGCATTGTTAGGTTTTAGAAATTTTGAAAATGCACAATCTGCCTGTAGCATTTGCTGGTAGAATATAGCCATGAGTGACTCAATCTTTTTCAGAGGTATTCCAAATATAATTATGGGTTACGTATCTGCTCTGAATAGTCTATGACTATTTAAATATTGAAAAAATTTGATGTCAGACTGAAATGCTTACAGAACTCGACATAGGAATAGTTCATCAGAGGAATGAGGCTCTGGCAAACAACATGCTGTACTCTACCCATTACGTGTTGTTTGCAATGAGGTGGGGCTCAGTCTCTTCTGCCATGACTCAAGAGAAAGGATGAGAGGAATGACTTTAAGCTGCAACAGGGGAAGTTCAAATTAGATATTTAAACTTTTCTTTTCACTGCAAGAATGGTCAGGCATTGGAATAAGTTGCCCAGGGTGGAGTCTGTCTCTGGAAGTGTTCAGGAGGAGCCTGGATGTGGCACAAGTCGACACAGTTTAGGGACAATTGATAAGGTTGCTAGGTTGACGGCTGGACTAGATGATCTTGAAGGTGATTCTGTGATTTACAACTCCACTTGGACAAATTAATGATTACCTTTGATTACAGTAACCCTGGAGACTACTCAGAAGCTTCTGCAAAATACAGCCGCTCACTTGTCCAGTATTGCGACCTGCATCTTACTAATTCTCAAGAGCAATTCAAGCTGTTGATTTTAATAATGAAATAGAAAATGCTTTATATAATCCATTCCTAAATGGCTATTCTTTCTTACATCAGCTGTAATGTCTGTAAATTTGTAAAGTGCTTTGAAACTTTTTAATATTATCAGTGCTAGCAAAAATCAAGACAGCATTACATTATTGTCAGCTGTTTAAATGAGAAAAGTGCAAAACCAATGCATTTTCTAAATATATGAGCAATCAGACAACAGTTAAAGCCACCTTATCATTGTTAGTTTACTCAGGAAAAATACATACCTGAAAAGGCAAAGAATTATACTTCCTGTTGTAAGAGCAATCAGAGATACACTGTGTCCAAGGGTATAAATTGCTTTCACCCTCACATAGAAGTTTACCTAAACAGAAAAACATATATGCAGAAAGCACTTACTAATATGTAAAATTGACTGTGAAGTGATATAATTGACCATTAAATAGCTCTGAAGGCTACAGCATTATTTTCAGTGTTTGCTCTACAGTACATGATGAGGATGTTATATCTCTATTCCAACACATTTTTGCAATGCAGCATCTCTAGCCAATTGACTTCAGTAGAAAATTCAGTGTCAGGAACTCAAGACTTAGACACACATGCTGGTACCATTCCAGTTGATTATACCATGTCAATGAAGTCAAAGAAAGCAGATTCACACACTTCCATAAACACAATCAAACTGGGAAGAATGAGCCAGTTAAAGAACGGATTATCGCTAAAAGAGATAATTTCTTTCAGCCCTTCTGCTCTAGTGAACTTTGTAATGCATGTGTACATGAATTTAATTTTAAAGGCTTGTTTAAATCTCATTAATTTACCACTCTAAATATTCAGATACTTTACTAAATTCTGACCCCAAACAACCCTTTAGTTCTTTAGTAGTTTGCTGAAACTTGGAAAGGAAATTTTTCAACAGAACAAAAGCAGACTGAAATGCCCAGTCTGCTGATTAACTGCAATTATCTGTAAATTTAACAGCTCATATTACATATAAGTCCTATTCTGAATGACAACATCAAGAAAAATAATGCTAAATATTCTCAGAATTAATCTGCTTCATTTATGCTTACAAAAAAGTCATTAGACTGACATTAATTTTCATTCAAGCTAGATAAAATATTTAAAGGTTTTTATAATGTTACAAAACTAAAAATTTTAATAGCAGTGTAGAAAGTGATATGGATAACAGACAGAATTTCAATATTTAGTGCACATAGTTACCACTAACCTTCTCAAATAATGTTTGTAAAAAGTAGCAAGGAAGCAATACTTTTAAATAAACTAAGATAGCAAAAGGAAGTGCAAATCACTTAATTCATTTATTTTTATATCATTAAAAGGCCAAATAAAGAGGTATTTTTAGCAAACCTGATTCACGATGAAATTACCTGAACATCCACTTTGCACGTATTATACAGATGTGGAAAAGATGAAATGTGAAATGTGAAATGAAAAATCCTGCAACTGCATTGTTGTAGATATGGTTAAAGGGGAAAAATATGGGAAACAACTGCCAGAGATTGTAAGTGCATTCATAGCAGCTGTCCTGCTTGTTAGGAGCTGAAAGTGGTATACACAGTGTCACAGGAAACAGAAATCTCTTTTAAATTGGAAAAGTAAGCTGTGATGACCTTTTTGACAACTGTCCTGATGTGTTAATGTTTTGTTTGCTTTACTTCAGAAATAAAGAAGGAAAATATGGACTTAACAAAGTTTCCAGTGTCATCTGAATGACCGCAAGAGAGTTCCCCAGAAGAAATCCTGAATAAATCCTGTCTTCTTTTTTTTTCTTTATTTGTTGTCTCTGACTGGATGAAATAGTAAAATCTGAAGCATTACTTAATTGATCTCTATAAAGAATCTGGTGTATATCTGCAGAGCCCTACTACACTCCTGCTACACTGTGGGTATGAATCATAGACTCTATTTCACTGAGCATTAGGTGTCTACACTGCGAATATAAACATCTTAGGCAATGTAGGGTCTCTTCATAGGGTCTTCTAGGAAGCACTTCTTGTATCTATGTCAGCAGTCAACATGGACTTCTTTGGATATGTTTCTAGAGACAGTGAAGAGGCCCCACAGTGACTAATTCAAGTGCAGCTACCCAGAGTGTACCAACATTTGTCCTTCTATGGACACCCATGTGAATCCTGTGTTTGCTAAACAGGACTCTTAAGTAGTCCAATGATTCTGAGTGGAATACTGAGCACAGAATTATTGCCATTGTGACTTTTTTTTTTTTCAAATGAAATTTATCTTTCTCAAATCTGCAACATTTACATGGTGGATGTGAAGAACTTTTTGATTTGGAGGCAATTCAGGCTTCTATTTGTACATTCAGTAGAAATGCATTCAGTAAATATGGGGTCTTCAAATGCCAACAAGATGATGACAGAGCTGGTTGAGGAACTGCTGTGCATCATTTCTAAGCTTTACACTATATTTGCTACTCCTGTTGTGCACAAGGTCAGGAAATAAGATTCCTTTTCTTCCAGAATACTGTTGATGGGGAAATGGGGGTGACAAAATGTTAGGTCATTTATTGGAGAAGCCTTTTTCTATGGTTTTGCAGAACATGTCAGGTTGAATAAATGAAGGAGGGTGCTCAAAGTATTTGTAGAGTTCTTGATGCCATGGGCTTCTGTAATTACTGCTGAGAAACTGGTTGTCACTATATTCCCAAAAATCTGCCTGGAGAATGGCTGATGTTCCTTTTGCTATGACAGAAGCCAAATTAAGAAGTGTAGGGGTGATGTGCAGTGCTTGTCTGAAGGCACAGTTTTTAGAGCTCTTCAAAAATGAGTCAAACTGGGGAGTATAGTTCTGCCATTCTAGCAGGGAATTGAAGAGCAGTTCTTCAGAACTGATTTTCTGTGAAGTTACATTAATTTCAAAAAAATATTTTTGAAAACAATTTTAGAAACATTGTTCAATACTGTTAATGCTGAGTGGAAGATTTCTCTTTCACTTTCATGGAAAAAACTGACTGGTGGAGACACACTTTTAAAAGTAACAGTGATGTTCAACATCACATTACTGCAGAGCAGAGACAGGTGTCTCCCCAGGTATCCTAAAACCACACACACACCACCTGGTAAGAGTGCACGCAGGGGTACTTTACATCTCTCCCATCTTCTTATCTTGGGGAACTATCAAGTAGCTTAATAAAACTTGACATGCTAAAATAACCATTGGCCTCCTGTAATTTGTACTTTTTTTTAATAGCCTTCAAAAGGTGAGCACCTCAACCTGGACTTCTGAGGTAAATTGTGTCCTGGTCCTTCACATTGCCCAGCAGAAATTACCTCCTCCCTCCTTTTCAGATTTCTCATTGTGCTAGAAAATCTTAAAGCAGCTATAAGGTTCCTTTTTACTGCTGAGCACCCAAAGTATGCTATGAGTTGATTATATGATTTGCTTCAAAACCTTTGCTTTGGTTTGCCTAAGAGCAGAAATAACTCTGAGACAAGAAATATGTGAGACTGACACATTCCAACTCATGCATCTGCTATACTCCAGACTAGTTGCCTCTGGCTAGATATTAAACTTTCTCCTTTCTCCTCCTTGGTTCATTCCCTTGTGCTTCGTCTCACACCTGACACTTGGGCTGGGCCTTTGTCCCGGGTTTGGCTGGGAAAGAGTTGATTTCCTTCCTAGCAGCTCATAGGGTGCTGTTTTGGATTTGTGATGAAAACCCTGTTGATAATACAGGAATGTTTTAGCTATTACTCAACAGTGTTGCTTTTCCCTGCTTCTCAGGCTGCTCCACCAGTGGGGGCTGGGGGAGCACAAGAGTCTGGGAGGGGACAGAGCTGGGGCAGCTGACCCGAACTGACCAAAGGGATATCCTAAACCATATGGGTTCATTGTCTTCTAATTGCTTCTTCTGATGCAATTATTTGCAATGCAACAAGTTTGCTGCTAATAAAACAGCGACCACTTGTGTTATCATGTAATTCTCTCATCTATGTATTGGATTTTTATTATGTTAATAATCCTTTAAGAGGTCCAAGCATATCAGATGTAGTGAGAGATTATATATTCTCCTTTTTTTTAGTTTTGTCTTGGAAGCTTTTGTTTAGGAAATACATAAATTGTTTGGTGCTAAATATATCAAAATTCTGTCTGTGTTTAGTCTACATTGTCTTTGCTCACTTTTCCATACTTTTTCCCATCTTTTTCAGAAGGAATTGTACTTCTACACTCTTTTCCTCTCCTAATTCTTTTCATAGGCACAGCGCCTATTCTACTTTCACAAATTAGAGCATAGGATCAACAGATTTACAGATCCTTTTTCACTATTGTCTTTAGATGGCATGCACTAAGATGTTTATAGGAATGATTCTGGACCAGAAGTAATCATTGGGAAATTGCAGTAAGACAAATGTTCCCATGGGAAAGCCTTGATTCTGATCTGTTGCTTTTACTAATAAAGTATACTGCGCAAGGTTTTTGACTGACCTGTCTGTAATAACGCCTCCAGAACTTCCTGGAGATTTATATCTAATTCACAACCTTTTGGTGCTCATGGCTAAATGGATAAATTGCCATCTTTGGAGGCTGTCAGTTTGCAAATCCATCAAATAGACCAAAATAATAACATATAAAATGAAAAAAAAGAAAGATGTTATTTTAAAAAAATGTTCAGAAACATTCAAAGAGAAGAAAGTAGCTCAAATGAATTTGCAGGCAGTCTCAGAATTCCACACAAATTTATCTAACTGCATTTCTGAGATTATTTTTATGTCAATGGAGTGAATTTCTGAAGTCAGTAGTAAAAGCATCTGCTAAAGGACATGGCAAATGGTCCAGAAATCCCCCGAAGGCAGTAAAGGTTTCCCACCAGAGACATCCTTGACTTCAGTTGTCTCGTGCTTTAGATATTAGCAACTTGCAACTGGGATAATTTCAGTCCTTAGAAAATATCTGATGGTCAATTCCATAGCACTGGCAAGAAACACAGGAGGCATCATAATTGCGTCCTCCCTGCCTCTCTATAAGCACCATTTGTCTCCTCTATGGGCATTCAGAACTATGTCTCACTATGTTTGTAACATGGAACGCTGAAAGATCCTTCACCTTCTCAATTTTTGAAGGCATCATAAAACCTCATTTTCAAGTTGGGAGCTGAACTATTGTCTAGTAACTCCAACTGTGGATGTAGATGCATAAATTGCATTGCACTCCACAAACTTACCAAAATTGTTGCCATCTATAAACAAACTTGAATGGCAGATGTTATTACAAAATTGAAAATATTACTTTAAATATATTCCTGCCATTAGACTATGGAATAAGAGAATTTTTTTGTACTTTGGTATAAAGAAAGTAGCTGTTAAAACTACAATGGGTTGATTG